CACCCGGCTTCTGAGGGTAGCCTGCGGTGATGATCACTAAGTCAGACTGGCCCGCTTCAGCGTACGAACCAACTCGGACGACTCCGGGGGAGTTGAAAGAGGCGTCGGCGATGTCAAGAGCCTGTCCCTCCGCGGCCTTCGGAGCAACATCAACAATCAAAAGTTCAGCAGCAACGCCCTTAAGGATCAAGGCATTCACAGTAGCTGCCCCAACCATGCCACCACCACCGATCACCGAGATCCGTTTGTTAGGGACGCGGGGAGCCATTTGTAAAGTACTAGGAAAATACGTTAGTGTAATGTGGAGAAAGTTTCGGGGTGAGGCTGCCGTTGCCGTCTCCTGTCTTCCGCGTCCCCTGGCAGCCCGCCCTCATCGCGGCGTCAGGTGGGGCCTGATCCGTGAGGTGGGTCCTGTCGCACACCACCGCTAGTGGCCCTTCCGACCGCAATTCCAATACTTGTCGTCTTGACCAGACAAGCCTTCTTCTGGTGGCCACTTACGACCGCAGCCCCCCCCCCCCCCCCTTTTCTGACTCTCGGCATCCCTGGGAGAGCAACCCCGGACCGCGTCTGACCTCTTCGCGGACCACCTGATAGCCGCCAGGAGGGCCTCCTGGCTCGCTCAGTGGCGACAATGTTCGCAGAGCTCCGAGAAGTGACACTGAGCCACGACCTCAACGCCTGGTGGCACGCCTTCGCCCAATCATTGTCTAGCGCCGCCGTAAGGATACGAACCTTCAGCTCGTCCGCTCCGCCCCAGCAATGACAACCCACGGTGGCTGTTACTAAAAGTTCGCATCGTAATCACAACAAAAAAAGGCCTAAACACGCTAATCAAGCTAATCAATACTAATCTTTACGAGGCTCCTCAATGGACTCCGCTTCCTTAACCATGTCCTTGATAGCAGCGACCGCTACCCCCAAAGCCTTCTGCTCTTGCTCATTAAGAGGCACATCAAAGCTCTGATCAACGCCATTAGAGCCCACAGTGCAAGGCCACGAGATATAAGCTTGATGAGCCTCGACCCAATGGACAAGAGGATACACTTCCTGAGTGTTGTTCAACACACTCTCAGCAATGGTAGCAGAACACATGCCGATACCAAAGTAGGTAGATCGTTTGGCCTCAATAATGGCGTAAGCCTTTCTCATGACTTCCTGGCGGATGCTGTCAAGCTCGATGCCCTTCAACTTGGGGTGATCCAACAGAGGCGTATTCTGGATTCTGGCTGCGGACCAAGCGACGAATTGACGGTCGCCGTGTTCGCCAAGGACGTATGCATTTATGCTCTGAGGATGCACATCAATCATTGAAGCGATCTGCGAGCGAAGGCGACCAGAGTCGAGGTAGGTCCCGGAGCCAAACACCTGATTCTTAGGCAGCTTTGAAGACTGCCAGACAATGTGAGTCAGGACATCTACCGGGTTGGCAACAACAAGAATCTTCATGTCAGGACGAATAGGTTGCATTTGCGTGCATATGTCATTCATGATGGACTTGTTGGTTCCAAGGAGCTTCGACCTCGGCTCACCCGGCTTCTGAGGGTAGCCTGCGGTGATGATCACTAAGTCAGACTGGCCCGCTTCAGCGTACGAACCAACTCGGACGACCCGGGGGAGTTGAAGAGGCGTCGGCGATGTCAAGAGCCTGTCCTTCGGCGGCCTTCGGAGCAACATCAACAATCAAAAGTTCAGCAGCAACGCCCTTAAGGATCAAGGCATTCACAGTAGCTGCCCCAACCATGCCACCACCACCGATCACCGAGATCCGTTTGTTAGGGACGCGGGGAGCCATTTGTAAAGTACTAGGAAAATACGTTAGTGTAATATGGAGAAAGTTTCGGGGTGAGGCTGCCGTTGCCGTCTCCTGTCTTCCGCGTCCCCTGGCAGCCAGTTGAGCTGTGACCGCGAAGCCGAATGGTACTGAAGGGGAAGAGTGCTCTCTGGAAATAACCCAAGACCCGCGAAAAAAGCAGCCAACTGGTCAGTGTTGTGCTTCGCCTCCGTGCACCGGACGAGTTTGAACATAGCGAGCTCCACACGAAGTTCACCGCCTTACGATGACCATTAATCACGACCTCGGCAGGCTCCGTGACGGGCAGGCGACCAGCACCAATCACCGTGACTATCTCCTCAGTCGCCGGCGACAACGTAACCCCCGCCCGCTCGCAGTCTTCCTTCTTCAACAAGTTGAGGCCCGCACCCGTGTCATCGACCGCCCAGTGCGGGTCTCGTAGCCGGCGCATGCCCCGGCGGATGTGAAATCACGTCATCGCCCCGCCTT